ATTTCAGTAATTCTATTGTTAATTGATTTAACATCCCAAATATTATGCTATGCTATAAAAGAATTCCAAAGTTTGGATATAATAAGTGTAATATTAAGAAATCACATATAACGATATTAGAACACATTAGTCGTAAAATTTTCTCATCGTATGTTTATTGGAAAATATAGGCATTACTATGATATTTCAGATATTTCGAGAAAATATACAGACATAGTTATAATTTATTTTTTTTAAATTTTTTTAATTCGCAATTTTCTTTACAAAAAACGTTGAAAACTTAAAAAAAGAACTGACTTATTTTGAATTTTTCATTAAATGCTGTAATATTTTAGATTCAGACTGTTGTTGTATTTTTTGTGATATTGCAAAAGGAATATTATCTCGATTGGAAACTCTTGGTAAATGCACTAGTTCTAGAAATAGGTACAGTCCAGTAGATACTGTGTTATTTATATAGTGAGAGACGCCGTTTCGATCGACTACAAAATTAATTACGCGACAGGAGGAATTAGCTCTAATTGACCTGAATATACGCAATCGCGATCTTATTATATCTTCTTGTAGATGTCGTAAAGAGAGAGCTTTACGAAGGTTAGAATCGTTCTGCCGACAGAAATTGTTCCGAACCACTTAACTATCGTTGCTTATTATGTATATACTTGTACCTCTATCTTTATTAATTATCAAGAAGTATGATTTTATAAACTTAATTAAAACTAATGCGATAAACATAAAATGATATATTAGACGATAACATTGGAATTAAGGTTAATTAGGATTTAACAATTATCTTGAAAAAGAAGAATTAGAATTCTTTAATTAAAAAATAATAGCGTAAGATAAAAAGAAGATTAGAATTAATTGTTTTTGGAATTAATAGCATTTGACCGTTATATTGTTGTTGAAAATGATCAGTCTCGTCAATTACTTTCAATAATAACAATATAAGAAAAAGACACGATGGAAAACGAAAGTTCTGATCGAGAAAACACTATCTTGCACTATTAAAAAATTAATTATATTAATTACTGTGGAATATAAAGAGAGAAAGATGGTCGTCCATCTAGGTCGTTTCATCACGCGTGCTCGAATATACCACAAAATTCAGGTACTTTCTGTATTTCATATTCTATCGAATAGGCCAGTGTGGTTACACAAATGTGGCTTTAACGAGCGTGAACACAGGGCGAAACGCGTGGAAATGCGGCGGACGCAGAATAATGTCGCCGTTTGAGAGCGGCGCGATTTCGCGCTCCGCAAGATTTTTTCTAAGAGCGTCATTTTTTTTTAATTGCAGGCTTCCACCCTCATTTCCGACCAGCAGCGATGCGGTGAGTTCGAGTTTTCTCCTCCTCGCGTTTTATCATCGTGGCACCGCTTCTCTCTTCTTTCCAGGTAATATGTGACACTTGTTTCTTTGCCTCTCATTGTTCCGTTACAAATACAATCAATGACCGGAAATCCGGAAGTTGTTATATTGTGAAAGATTTCTTAGATTTCTTTTGCGTAATAAACGTTTAATAAATTTAATTATTCAAGGAGAAATTGTAGAAATTTGCGTGAAATCGCTATTTTTGTTTAAAAATTTAAAATGTCAAGCAATTTTCTCGTGACGTTGGTATTTTGAGTAATAAAAAAAAAAAAATAAAGAAATATCCGTAACTCAACAATTAATTTTCTTGTGTGTATATTACATTTTATATAAAATAATTATATATTGTAGTTTAAATTCTGAGCCAATATAGAAATAATCTTTCGTTTGAGCTTCCGCCTTTCCGTACAGCGACCGCAAATAACAGTGATAGGCAAGCCTTAATTAAATCCGTGGCAAGAATTGACAGTGCATACGCGTACCTTTCATTGACGAATACGCGCGTCACTTCATTTACGTTAAATGCAATGCTGTGCCCAATCAATGGCCTGTCCCCGTTGTACGTGGATAGCTTAATCATTACAAGTATAATTTACTAACACATAACACGCGATAGTATAGTAATTCTATCTTAATCATTTGCAAAGTATATTTTATTGCAATTTATCTGCATTATTTAAATCTTTCGTTTATTTAAAAGTTAATAAAACGCGATGTTATCGCATTTTAAGCGATCGAAGCTATTCTTAGAAATTGTTTTTTTTTTTTTTTTTTTTTTTGAAAAGCGTAATCAATCTTTATTAAAAAAAATATTATCTTGGATAAATACACGCGTGAGTAAAAGTATGTTTCTTTGAATTTTGCAATGCCAGTCGCGGATGTCACAAAAATAGTTATAATAGTTAGAAGGTTAACACTTGCGCGATTATTAGACTCTGTCGTAACCGTTATAGTTACGTTACGTTAATAATTATGGTACAAAGTAAGCCTCCGCTTTGCCAAACAAAGAGTTAATTGCGGGCTATTAAACGTTCAGGCGCATAGCTCTGCTCGCGTATCTCGTTATATCGGAGCAATTTCGTTTCTTCACGCTGGAAATGCGTCACGAGCATTATCGGATAAATTGAAAGCATTAGCGTGGCGAATCGAAGGTTAGCGTTTGCTACGACTGAGGCTACGGCTATTCAGCTTCGCCAGGCTCGTTATCCTTTTATCGTAACACTTCACGGCAGGTGAGTCGATGCTTTTATTATGCCACCCTGTGTATGACATACGACCTCGGCCGAGATTTGTCACTCTTCAGGGCTAACCAGTAATCACTCATCTTTCTCAGTACAATTTCAACAGATTTTATTTATTATCAAGAAAAATAGTTTCTTCAGAAACAATTAATTTTTCATAAGAATATGAAACATACGGTATATACATAATGATAATTTTAAAATTTACCGACGTCGAGACATTTAAAATGTGTCAAAAAAATTGGAAATTAAATTCTGAAATTTTAGAACAAGGAAATATTATAATTAGAATTTTAAATATAATGTTAAACTAAAAAAATTAAAAAAAAATCATATATTTTTTAATTAATCAGTCAAATTGCTCGAGAAATTTGTAATTAAAGTTGTAAAGTTAAACGCGAAATTTCCGATTCACGAATGTTATTTCGTTATTCTCAGATATCGCTTTAAATCATATACGAAAGGATTAAGTTGAGAGCTCGAGCTCAGTCTGTCTTTCCATGCGGGATTTTCACGTAGGTTCAATGCACTCGGCGCTGTCACATGATAAGGGCTTTGCATGTGCACGCGACATATCGCTAATAGAGCAGGTCTCGATCGAGGTTGCCGTACCACGATAATGAAACAAATGAAAAGAAATGACAGCGCGGATGAAGATAAATGGTCTCCAGTATACTAGTCTCGATCTCCTAAAAGTAAAGTAACAGAAGCGAATGAGCAAAGCGAATCGACTTTGTAGGTAGCATTCGTAATCTTTTCTCGATGAATAAGAATTCTTTATTTATACACATGTACATGAAGTGCATGTATATGCACTTGTGTAAATAAGAAATTCTTATCAAGAAACGACTATGAATATTATTTTAAGTATTTATCATAACAATGATATGATGTCTTCTCTCGTATAGACTACTGTGTAACTTTTAAACATTTGATTCTTTTTGATTTGTGACCGATTATTAAAATGATATAAATATAAGTTACCTAATAAATCTTGTAAATTTGAAATTATAATTTTTAATTGCGGCTGAAATATAATTTTAAAACTAGTAAAAATATTGAAAGTTAAATAAATAGTTAAGAAAATAGTGAAAAGATATAAAAATTTTTTTTGCATTTCGTACAAATTAATTCTCAAAATGTTCGGGAGATCTATGAATGAAGAGAAATCAGGGGAACCGGGACACCCTGTAGTTCGAGCGTGTTTTGACATTTCGCTTGGTATGGGACAAACCTGAACAACGGTGGCGATCCAATCGGCATCTCAGATCGCGAATAAACCTGACGGATTTGAATAAAACGCTCGTTAAAATGATTTGTCCGCCGTCGGTCGTCCGACTTTAAACGAGGGCCCCTGAATTCGCCGCAAATATCTGGCGGTGGGTTCTTCGGCACCGCGAATTTTCATTCCCACCGGTCGTAAATCTCCCTCCGAGCGCGCACGGTGACTTTTTGCGACACCCGGGAAGCCCGATATCCTGAATTTAAATTATGCTTAATTTAATTCCCTCGCGGCTGCGCCGCGATTGAGCGTGATATTTCGTCGTCGCGATGCGCTTCGGTCGAATTCCAGCGATTTTTTTTAAGGTGCAACATGTAAAAGTGTCTCTCGTGTCGAAACTACGAAAATCAATATCCGTGAATTTTTTAAACGAGAGAAAATAAAAAGAGAGATAGAGTAAATTGAATACGTTTAGCGCCTCATTTCGCGTCCTGGAAAAAAAAAAGCGGGTCGCGTAAAATGATTCGATTGCCGATCAGGACAACATTGCTTGGACAAGGACGACCGCTGCCATTGTCCATTGGCCTAAATCGCGGTCTAGCTAGTCACTACGTACAGCATGCTAATTCGGACGAGGAGAAATGCAAATACCTCGCATCTTATTTCAGTCCGACGTCCGAGTTTTTCTTGTTAACGCCGAGTACGTTAATTGGGCCGATTTAATTAATCGAGTCGATTTGACACGTCTCTTTTAACGTCTTCGAATCTCATAATTTCAGTATTTTATGACTTCCATCTTTCTCTTGTATTTTGGCAGACTATCCAATCATCTGAATGGCGATTATCTGCGAAATTGTTTGTATAATTAATTTTTAAATTATTTATCCGAATAAAAAAACTTTTGAGATTTTTTTTTTAAATAAAACTTTCTAAAATAATAAATATTTTGGTTACTTGGTGTAGATAATAAATAATTTAATTAATCATTCGAAAGATTCGAGGAAAAATTAGAGGGAAATTAATCTGATTTGACGATAATATCAAGATGAATCGTGCGTCGTTGTTATATTTTGTTGTCAGTTTCCTATATCCTACGGCTCTCAAGAGATAATAACAAGTTGTAAATCTTATACGCACACGTATAGCAGGAACCAATAGCGATCTCGAATATCAAGTTTCTCCGCTCGCACTACTTCTACTTTCGTAGAGAAGAGTAACAACGCAACATCTTGCATCGGTTGCAAGTCGGAGCCGCGTCGTGAAAAATTCGAATTATGTTCATGTAATGTATCGAATACCTGTAGGCGTGAGTAGGCAAAACTTGAAATTACGACAGATATCAAGAGACACGTTGAAATAAGAAATCAATTATGCACATCAGGTTTATTAGAATCGCTGGAACAGAGATTAGAATTGAAACTCATAAATCTTTTTACATCATGTTTCTCTGAATAATTATTCATATTACTTCGAGATTTGATTTATACAATTTTTATGTTAATGGATATCATATTAAGTCATAAATTAAACGAACCGCGGGAAATAATAGCTTGAAGTTTAGAAAGTGTTGAGGGAACTTGAATCTCTAATGGAGAAACATAGCGTGTATAATTTGGAGGTTTCGTGCATCACATTCCAATTCGTTTTCTCGACGAGAGTACGTTCCTTAAATCGTCGGAGGTGACCGGCTTACCGGAAACTCACGGTCGCGGAATGCGCCAACTTCTCGTTTCTCTTCTTCCGCGAAGAGGACGGGAACGCAGCACTTCGGTTTATTCGCGAATATATTTATGCGCGACAGGTGCGTTAATCTATGGGCGATTCCGGCGTCGTGAAATACTTGTACGGTCCGCAAAATAGATTGCATCCCAAAGTAAGTAACGCAGGCCACAAAACAAATCAGTTTGATCTAAACTTTGTATCATTTTATAAGTTGACATAAATCGTGAGTAAGTTCGTAAATTTTATTAGAGAAATTTGTCAAAGTTGTACGATGGTGCTGAATTTTTTTCTTACTTAATTTGGACTTCATTGTTTCAATAATTACTTATTTATTTATGACATTAAGATATATTTAATACAATGATATAATTGCAAGCGTATTTTTGTAAAGTTGTGATTATAAAATATGAAATATAATAGCAGAATAACCTGAAAGTGGAATTATCCATGTATATTAAACAAATCATTTTTTCTTGATTTTAATAAAAAATAAATTGAGTGACTTATTAAATTTTTCTTTAATTAAGATTTCCAAGATTTCCAAGATTCATAATAACATAGTATAATGTTTGAACATATTTTTATTTGTCTATCAGAATGCGAGTGTCTTTCTACTGCCTTTAAATTATTTCTCAATTATTCGATTGCGTATAATAAATGAAAAAAAAAGGAAAAAAAAAAAAGTAGAAAATTCATACTTCACACGCTATCGGATATCGCATGTGCGACGTTTCGTTATTTTTCCGCAATTGTATTTAAAGATTCGACGTGACAGTCATTTGGCTTTTTTTTTTTTTTTTTCCGTAAATGCTCGCGTGATGGAAAGCATCCTGGCGGT